TATCATATCAAAAACAAATATTTATCAATAATTGATGAATGTGTAGCTTTGTTATGATGCGTATCAAATACAAAACTTATAATTCCAATTCAATCACTCTAATTGATTGTCAATTTGATCATGTAGGCCTCCATGGACACTTAACTAGTTTCAATTCCAATGTGAAATATCATTCTGTGGCATCATATCCATACCAGTACCTCACCCACGTCAGTATAACACATTGTCACGACACTATTACCAAGGTGATTTAGTCTTTAGAAATTCTCTCCTTGTGACCCCTTCTTCATTACCAGGTTTTTCTTGCCAAGGATGTTCATCAGATCTTTACTCATGTAGAATGGTTTCTCCACAGAGCCATCATTTCTTTCCAAATCTTCCACTATGAAACATAAAACATTTGACCATAGGATTTTTGTAAGTTATAATATACCTGTATATATACTGAAATATTTGTGTGTACCGATGCACCTGTATGTACTTTTATACATGCAGTGTATCTTTACGTACCTTTATGTATCTGTATGTACTATGTACATGCATATATCAGGATTTACCTGTGTACATGTATGTACACTGTACCTGTATGTATCTGTATGTACCAATATGTATGTATCTGTATGTAGTACTATATGTACCTGCATTTATATGTATCTGTATGTACCTATGAAATTATATATCCTATGTACATGTTTGTATCTGTATGTACCTGTATGTATATGTATGTCCTATGTACACGTATGTATCTATACAGCTATGTGAAAATATGATCTATAAAAAAATATTGAAATTAAACTAACATGAGATGAGGATTTTCAGAGAATTATCGGTAAATAACAAAATGTGGTAATTGCGGAATTTATTCAAACTCTGATATAGATATTGATTCCGTGTCATCTTTTTCCACACTAAACAAATTAACATAAGTGCCTTATAAAATTTTGTACCGTAACAAAAATGAGGTGGGCAAAATTATGCCTCTTAAAGACATTTAACATTATCATAGTGTCAGTATTCCAGAAAGCATTGTTGTGTAATACAAGAGTGTTACTTACAGAAACAGAGGAACAGGGTGTCCACAGCCATGGAGTAGACGCTGAAGAAACAGCTGGCAACCACATACGACACGATGGTCACTATCTGTACATCATATACACAAAAACAAATGTTATAAGATTACAAGGCCTTCTGTTATTGAAAAAAAAAAAGAGCAAAATAAACCAAAACAAACTACTGACAGAAATTTAAGAATAACATGCCTGCCAGATCCATTCTAAATATTCATACATTTGATCCCTGTGATATTGATGTTTTCTTATGGAAAGAGAAAGGACTAAGGGCATTAAGATTCATTTCTGGCCTCATCATGGATTTAGAATTTGTTTGATATATTTGTAATCTTAGATAAATGAAGTACATAAATATGATGAAAAAAAATTGCACCAGGAAATATGAACTAATATGATGTTTATGAAAGCAATTGGTAACTAAATTCAAGTTGTAATTTTTGTTTTTTTATGAGGCCGAAAATGACCCATAACACCTCAAGTCCCTTGTTTATTCAATATGACTATAATGACATTACTACTTGCAAATATTATTTGTGATTTAGCCTTCAGTGTATTTCACTCACCACAATAGGAACAACATAAAAGTTGAGAGTGGGGGTGTAGTTCTTCAGGAAATCAATACCACCACTGAAGAAGAAGTAGGCTCCAGCAGCTGAAAATAACCGTTTACCTTCCATATTATATTTAAAACAATTTCTTAAACAATTGGAATAGAAAATTGACATCTTTATAACCTGCTTATGATAACACTTCTGTTCTTCATATTTACCCATAAATCCCATGTTTTTTTCTGCCTTAGTATTGTGTACATATTAACATATTATACATATATGTCATAGCTGTCAAACCTCCCTCAATAGGAGGAATATTATTTCATTTTGACCAAAATCTCCCAATCTCTCTCAAAACTCCCTCATTCAAATCCAAACTCACACAAACTCAAAATCTAC